ATTGGACCAGGAAGCAGGCAACAGCCACAGGAATCGCCCAGACAGAAGGCAGGAATATGGTGGATAAACAAGCCAGGGTGAGAACAGGCAGCAGGCTGAGATCTAGGCAGAAGGCAGAAACATGGTCCATAAAAAGTCCTGAGATATGGTCAACACAGCCAAAGTATTGGTCTAGGCAGCAGGCAGGAACATGATCCGAAAAAGTCTTGGGTCAGTACAGGTAGCAAGAGGAGATATGGTCAGCACAGCCAAAGTATTGGTCCAGGCAACAGGCAGGAACATGGTCCAAAAAAGTCCTGGGTTAATACAGGCAGCAGGTAGAGATATGATCAGCACAGCTAAAGTATTGTGGTTCAGGCAGCAGGCAGGAACATCAGGCTCAGGGCCTTGGTCAAGTAGGTCCGGGGCACAGGGGTAGAGGCTTTGTCCCACCCAATCTCATTGAAGCCTCCGGACAAACAGACCCTGAATTACAAAACCAGGAGAAAACCAAGAACTGTTTTTTCGATACTCTGAAGCCCCTCACATATGTGAGACCCCTGTGTTATCTTGAATCCCACTATTGCAGTAGCAGGGCAAAAGATCAATCCAAGCTGCAGGCAAAAAAAATTGTCGATTTAATAGGCCGAGGTCAGTCCAGGAAGAAGGCATACTGTCAGGAATGGACTCAGCACTGGTGGTGGGACTCACCTGCCGTGTGGGCTGCAGTGCCGGGGCTGACCAGCGGGTGCTCTCAGCAGCCAGAAGCTCACTTCTGCAATCAGCCAAACCTGGGGCTGATTGCAGAAGGTGTATTTAAGGGATGGCCAGACCTGCAGTCTGGGCCTTGGTGTATGTTTTCCCATGAGCCTCTGTACCTGGTATCCTGTGTTCCTGCCTCGTTGCTGACCCTGCTTGCTCCTGACCTCTGCTGACCGTCTCCTGTTGAACCCCTGGCTTGCCTGACCATCCTTCTGCCTGATCCCCTGTACCACGCTGCCCGTGAGTTACTGAACCCGGCTTGTGACCCTGACCATTCTCTGCCTGCTCTTTGGTACCTTACTGCCCGCACATTGCTGACCTGACACTAGCAGGTGTACTCAGGGGCTGCGACATGGTTCCTGTCTGCTCCAAGTCCATCCCCACCATCAGGGGCCCTGGTGAATAAGCAGACTGGGACTTAGACTCCGCGCCCTGGGGAATCCTGTCCTGAGGACCGCTAGAGGTACCACCAAACGGTCATTACAGAACCCTACGGCCGGCCTGACCGTTCCACCTCTCCAGCCCTGACTACGCCTGTATTCCTGCACCTCCTAAGATTAGTGGAAGGTTGGTTTGCTCACTGTGCGTTTATATATATATATATATCTGGGTGGCTAATAATAAACTGTATTATACTGTACCTGAGACCTGCGTTTCCCTGTGTCAGTCCACACCTTTCTGGTCATTCCTAGATTCCTGACACATACACGTGGTTGATAATCCAGACGGCAGGCAGAAGCATAAACGGGCCATGATCAGTTCCGGTGAAAGGCAGAAATGTGGTTTAGAAACAATTCAGACAGTAAGCAGAGGCATTGTCAGTAAACAGGCCAGGGTCAGTTCAGGTGGAAGCCAGAGGCATGGTCAATCAAGGCAGCAGGCAAAATTTCAGTATAGATAAAAAATGGGGAAATTAAAAATATGGGGAACTAATATTTTGCTAACGTGTGATAACGTCAGAAGCAGTCTCCAATGCATAGGCCTGGTTGGGAGGGACATTGGGGAAAATGAAAACTGGTGTCTCTCCTAACTCCCCCTCTGTTGAATATCCTACATTTTTTTGGGTATCTTCTTCCTGTTTCTGATGGTGGAATGTTCTCAGGGAAATGGCATTCATGAATCCTGCTGACACAGCCGGAGTGAATGCTTTGTGGTGGAGATCCTTGCTGATAGATTAGGGCAGTGACAACATCTTCTATAAATTTGAGGAAGGTGGTAGATCTTTCCATTGACTTTTGAAAGGTGATGTATGCATTAAAAGTAGCCATATGGAAAAAGTATATTGCAACTTTTTTGTACCAGAAGAGGGACTTCCTTGTTGATAAATAGGGCTGCAGCATCTGATCATTTAAATCCATCCCCCCAGAATGTATTTTGGGGCATAATTCTTGGTATGTACATGCTGTGTGTTAGAAATATCTAAAAAATTGACATCTTTGTGTGATAGAAAATGTGGAAAGAAAAATGAAAACTTTTTTTAACGTTTGGAAAAAGTAACATGTTCAATGACGATTGACCATTTAGGTGTAATGGCACTGGTACATTGCTCGTGGTTGCCTGCTCTTCAAAGCATCTTACTCTTTTAGGAGGGACTGCTTCCTCTTTTCGATTTGGTCACCGAACCACTGCTTTCTACTGGCTCGTATTCCGAATTGGAATAGGATGGTAAGAGCTCCCCACTGCTCTCGTCTGTCATGCTGAAGACTTTGAAAGCCTCCTCACTAGCCAAAATTTTTTTGACATCTTGGCTGTATGACAGGCAACTGTGATGGGTACACTGCTGATGGGCGGCAGTGATGGTGGCTCTGTTATGGGTACTCTGATTAGGCTGCACTGATGACCAGTACACTGATAGGCTGCTCTGCTGTATGCGCTGATAGGTACACTAATAGGCTTCCCTTATGGATGTGCTGACAGGTACACTGATTGGCTGTACTGACAGGTACGCTGATGGGCTGTGCTGACAGGCTGCACAACAGGTACACTGATGGGCTGTGCAGATAGGCTGCATGACAGGTACACTGATGGGCTGTGCTAGCAGGTATGTGATGGGCTGTGCTGACAAGTGCGCTGATGGGCTGTACTGACAGGTACACTGACAGGATGCACGAGAGGTACACTAATGGGCTGTGCTGACAGGTACGTGATGGGCTGTATGACAGGTACACTGATGGGCTGTGCTGGCAGGTACTGTATGTGATGGGCTGTACTGACAGTTACGCTGACAGACTGGTGACAGGTACGCTGATGGACTGGTGACAGGTACACTGATGGGCTGGTGACAGGTACACTGATGTGACAGGCAATCAGACCAGTGTGGTGCACAGTACTGAATGTGGTAACTCACTGTTCCCCTCCTCCTTCTCACACAGGATCCGTGTATGAGGAGGAGAAGAGGTAACAGAATGTTACCGCTGTTTGTTTACACTTGTGATGGGCTGTGATAGGACACATTGGCTGTTTACCTGCATCAGTGAAGCGCTATGTCCATGGAACACAGCAGACAAAAGATTGGCGCGCTCTAGGGGTGTGACCGGAAGGACATCATATGACGCCCTCCCGGAGGGACGAGGGAGCAGGTTAACTGATTGCATCATTGGTTGTTATGTTGCCAGCAGCTAGAAAGTTGTAATGGTGTACCAGGGGATTCCCTCTGCTCATCGGCCTAGACAGCAGAAGGAGCCATTGGCTCCCGCTGCTGTCAATCACAGCCAGTGAGCCAATGAGAAGAAAGAAGGGGTGGGGCTGAGCCACGGCTCTGTGTGTGAATAGACACATGGAGCAGCAGGTGCCCCCATAGCAAGCTGCTTGCTGTGGGGGCACACAACAGGAGGGAGGGACCAGGAGACCCTGCAGGGGACCCGAGAAGAGGTTCAGGGCTGTTCTGTGCAAAAAACACTGCACACAGCAGGTAAGTATAGACATATTTGTTATTTTTAGAAAAAAGTAAGCCTTTAGTATTGCTTTAAGTGTCCATTTAGAAAAAAAATATAAATAACACCTGTGATATGTGCAGTAAATGCTCTTGCAAGATACATTTTAGTTATTTAAATTCGGTGTGGAGCATTTACAGCACATATCACGGGTGTTATTTGGACTATGTGTTTCTGCTAAATGTACACTTAATTTATGTGATTTAGGGAATTTTTTCATGATTGATATGTGTACTGTATATTTTAGGTAATTGGAACATGTATTTTTGTGTTCACAGTGCTACCTCATATCTATTTTCTTAATCCTTGATTTTGATGTAGATGTGATAAAAAATGATGGCACTCCAAGTAAATAGATACCAAAAATGTAACGCTGTAGCAGTGCACACGCCAGTAAAACAGTGACAAACTACATACATTATATTATCTGTAGGTGATGTTTTAAAAGCCTTTACAGGTCACCAGATTAGAGTCACACAGGAGGTCTGGTGCTAGAATTATTGCTCGTTATAGAATGTTCACTGCGATACTTCACATGCGAAAGGGTGAGCTCTCAGAGGAGAGGAGACAGAAAGTCCTTTCCACATGTCAGGGAGATCCATGATGGAACCACATGCTTTCTCACTCTGTGTTTTCAAAAATTAGTAGTAACTTAACAGAAGCTTGCCATCTCTTAATCTACCTTTAAGTCTATGTTGTCTATTAATTGGATATAGTATCAATTTAGCCCTTACCTGACCATTTGTATAGATATAGAAATGAAAGAAAATAGGCGCAAATATACAGTGGCTGGATAGTGCAGGTCCAGGTGGCAGTAGGCATCAGCTACCATCCGGAACTGCAAAATAAAAGAAAACTACACTGTAACCACCCCCAAGTCTCGCAGCCTGGGCCCAACTTTGTTCAAACTCTTTGTGCTGAAACCCTCCTCTTATATAATCTTGTTGAAATTATTGGCCTGGGTTGCTGCAGAGTGCCATATTGTCATCTGCAACAATTTTTTTTTAAATTTTTTACATATTTTCATATATATATTTATATTCTTTATTTTTTGTTATTTTTGGTATTTATGCTGTGGTTTGACTGAACACAGCCAAGGTCTGGCACATCTAATATTCCCCTTCTTTCTCAGCATAAACTTTGTTCTCCTAAACCACAGGTTCTCAACCTGTGGGTCGCGACCCCTTTGGGGGTCGAACAACCATTTCACGGGGGTCGCCTAAGACCATCGGAAAAACACATATTTACAATGGTCTTAGGAACCGAAACACCGCTCCTCTATCCGTCTCCAGGTGATGTGTGGGTGGGATGACATGCCGCCCCTGTCATCTGGCCACACCCCTGGGATCACTCAACAGCTCCGCTTCCTCACCGGTGATTGGCCGCCGGAACTGTAGCTCAGGAGAGGCACACAGGCGGCCAATCACTGGCGAGGAGGAGCCGAGCGGCAGTGTAAAGATCAAAGAAGATCGAGTGAGGGAGCTGCTGGAGCAAGTGAAGAGGAGAGCGGCCAGAGAAGGAAGACAGCTGACCGGTAAGTGTCTGTACCGTGCAGATGGTGCTGCTGTAGCCAGGAATGCTGGTTGTAGATGGGAGAGAGAGGGAGCGAGCCCAGGCTGGAGCAGGGGTCAGCAAGGTAAGTATCATTGGTGTCAGTGGGAGGAATAGTGCCCCTTCATTGGTGTCAGTAATACCAATAATGGGGCACTATTCCTCCCACTGACACCAATGATGGGGCACTATTTCCCCCTCACAGACACCAACGATGGGGCACTATTCCTCCCCCCACTGACACCAATCATGGGGCATTATTCCTCCCCCCACTGACACCAACGATGGGACACTATTTCTCCCCCCACTGACACCAACGATGGAGCACTATTCCTCCCCCCACTGACACCAACGATGGGACACTATTTCTCCCCCCACTGACACCAACGATGGAGCACTATTCCTCCCCCCACTGACACCAATGATGGAGCACTATCCCCCCCCCCCCACTGACACCAATGATGGGGCACTATTCCCCCCCAACTGACACCAATGATGGGGCACTATTTCCCCCCCACAGACACCAATGATGGGGCACTATTCCTCCCCCCACTGACACTAATCATGGGACATTAGTCCTCCCCCCACTGACACCAACGATGGGACACTATTCCTCCCCCCACTGACACCAACAATGGGGCACTATTTATCCCCCCACTGACACCAATGATGGGGCACTATTCCTCCCCCCACTGACACCAACAATGGGGCACTATTTATCCCCCCACTGACACTAATGATGGGGCACTATTCCTCCCCCCACTGACACCAATGATGGGGCACTATTCCTCCCCCCACTGACACCAATGATCTGGCACTATTCCTCCCCCCACTGATACCAATGATGGGGCACTACCCCCCCCCCCCCCCCCACTGATACCAATGATTGGGCACTATTCCCCCACAACTGACACCAATGATGGGGCACTATTCCCCCCCCTACACAGACATCAATGATGGGGCACTATTCCTCCCACACTGACACCAATGATGGGGCATTATTCCTCCCACTGACACCAATGATGTGGCACTACTCCTCCCACTGCAAAATTACAGTTATGAAGTAGCAACGAAAATAATTTTATGGTTGGGGGTCACAACATGAGGAACTGTATTAAAGGGTCGCGATATAGGAAGGTTGAGAACCACTGTCCTAGACTCTCAGTGGCCAGGTGTATTTTTTATATACAGTACATATTGTATATTTAATTCATCATAGTCAGGGCACTGAAGGCATAGCTGCAGGGGGAAACTTATGGTCACAGGTAATGTCCCAGTACAATCAGGGGCAGAAAATTGGACCTGGATAGATCAAGCTGTAAGCAGGTTGTAATGCTGGTTAGTTAGACAACTGTTGCCTCAGTCGGGAGGGAAACTGTTAACTTGATTCCTGCACTTTTTGCTTAAGGGCCAGTCTGATTTGATACAAATTGAATAGAATTTTCAGGTAGGTCATCCTATTCCATAGTTTTGGTAAATCTAAAGGACATTGAACAGAGACTGTACAATCAGATTGCTTAGTGTATGGCCATCTTTATACAAGTACTTAGGGGGAGTAGATGGATGCACTCGGCTGTCAGGCCCCAATTACATATCCGCATAGCAGGAACTTACATTCCTGCGTGCATTTTTTGGAGTGTTTGAGCATTTCCACATTCACTGAATGGGCTGCCCTATACACGACAAACTCCCCAAAGAAACCGTCTGTCACACCTGCTATATTATGTTGTCTAAAAATGAAAGGGTAGTGTTAAACTGCCTAGAACATCCATGAGAAGAGGTGAACATATTTTCTCTGGAAGCATGCATTGAAGCAGCATTACATGTGGCCCTCTACTCCTTACCCATGTATTGCCTCCCACTGCTGTGTGCACTGTACAATCTGTATTTATGCATGGTTTATCCAATTTCCTTTGTAGCAGGAATGTTGCATTGTGGAAAAGTGCTGGGTTTGCATCAGGGTGAGCCATGGTGCTAAGTGTGTTGGAACAGCACTGAGATGCTGCCTCAATGGCAAAACGGAGTATAAAGTTTCTAGATGCAAGTCCTCAGTACAGAAGATTTGTAATTTTCCAACCATTGGTCAAACCTTTAATATGCTTCCACTTTGCTTTTACTGAAGAATAGATCTCAGCATTTGCACTGATCTCATCAGTTACATATAGTCTCCATTCCTGGCCATCCACAGCGATAAGCGCTGATAGTGAACGCTAGTGTGTACTGCCAGCACATTCCATAACGGATTTAGTCAGTTACTCAATCACTGGTCAGTGGGTCACAGTCAAGATAGCTGAATTCGAATGAATGCATGCCAAACTGAGCAAGAGAGCTCTGTAACAGGCTTGATTTGATCTAGCCAGAGTTCCACAACAAAAATTAAAGAACATTTAATGAAAAACATAATTATTAAAAAAACACTTATGAGAAATAATTGCATATTTACTATATTGTATATTAGATTGTTGAAACCTGCAAATTTGTAATCCTGTTCAACAAGAAATATCTATACTATTTAGTTGCTGTAACAAAATTTAGTCCTAATAGGCTGCAGAACACACAGGCAGTTCATAAGGGTCATACAGTGATGTAAAACTACCCCCTTCACTGGATCCTTAGGGTGCATTCACATTTGCAAAGGCACCTTGTCTGCGGTCAGCTGTAAGACTGGTTGCCTGCGTCCAGGGCTGATCACTCACATGTGATCCCTGCATGAGCGAATACATGAGGGCTGGAGTGATTAGCTGCGATAGCCGGGTTTCAATGGAGGTTCTTACTTGCAGTTAATCGTGGGAACCCCTTCTGGGGTTCTTGCAGCTGATTGCAGAAAAGGTGCATTTGCAAGTGTGAAAGCACCCTTACAGGTCCAAAACTGAGATCTGCCATAATTCTTAACTCTGTCCTAGTCCACCTGGGAGTTTAGAATGGACAAACTAGGTAGCAGAAGCTATGAAAAGCACACTATAGGGTTGATTTACTAAAGGAAAATAGACTGTGCACTTTGCAAAGTGCAGTTGCACTCTGCAAGAGTAGTTGCTCTAGAGCTTAGTAAATGAGGTACAGCTTCACGTTGCAAAAAAAATACCCGATCATGCACAAGGACAATAAATAAAACAGCATTTTTGTTTGCTCATGATTGGATGATGGAAGTCAGCAGAGCTTCTGCTCATTTAAACAGCTCTGGAGCAACTGCTCTTGCAGTATGCAACTGCAAACCATTTGCCTGTAGTAAATCAACCCGTGTCTGTAGATATTGCAGTTGATCTCATAGTGACTGGTTACTGAAACAAAAGCCTGTGTCAGTGAGTGCCTGCAGGGGTGAGGAGGTATGGCTGGGCTCCTGGAATTCACAGCCATTGTTGAGTGCTCCCTTATGCCTAGTACAGGGCTCAAAATTTCAAGTCCTGAGCTACAAACCAAGCCTTGAGAGTTACTCACCACCAGTTGCCCCACTCAACCCCTACACTGCCCCGCCCCTAAACACGTCCTCCAAGATTATCTTATGAAATGACACTGTTAAATGTTCCCCGCATTACATCAGGGTCCCCAGAGTCCCCCCACATTACATCAGGGTCCTTAGAGTCCTCCCACATTACATCAGGGTCCTTAGAATCCCCCCACTTTACATCAGGGTCCCCAGAGTTCCCCCCACATTACATCAGGGTCTTTAGATTCCCCCTCATTACATCAAGGTCCCCAATGTCCCCCTAAACCAGGGGTCCTCAAACTATGGCCCGTGAAAGCCATTTGGCTGGCCTGGCAAGCCGGATAAATTGCTTTGGCGGGCCATACCTGCGAGGCCAGCCAAATAGAAAAAAAAAAAATCGGAAAAAAAAAACGACTGGCAAATAGCTAGGCTGCTCACCTGGCCCTCAGTCGTGAGGATTCAGCGAGCAGCAGCCTTCAAGTTCCTGTTTTCACCTGCTGCAGCCAGAGTAGCAACAGGAGAGGAGAAGGGTACACCAGGCACAGTGCATAGTGGTGTCCAGTGCGTTACAGAGTACAGTACATTGTGGTGTCCAGTACATTACAGAGTACAGTGTATTGCAGTGTCCAGTGCATTAGAGAGTACAGTGCATTGCGGTGTCCAGTGCGTTAGTGTACAATGCATTGCAGTGTCCAGTGCATTACAGTGTACAGTGCATTTTGGTGTCCAGTGCATTACAGAGTACAGTGCATTGCGGTATCCAGTGCATTACAGAGTACAGTGCATTGCGGTGTCCAGTGCATTACACAGTACATTGCATTTTGATGTTCAGTGTGTTACAGTGTACAGTGCATTGCAGTGTCCAGTGCGTTACAGTGTACAATGCATTGTGGTGTCCAGTGTGTTACAGAGTAGAGTGCGTTGTGGTGTCCAGTGTGTTACAGTGTACAATGCATTGCAGTGTCCAGTGTGTTAGTGTACAGTGCATTGCGGTGTCCAGTCCAATAGTGCACAGTGCATTGTGGTGTCCAGTGCATTACATTGTACAGTGCATTGCAGTGTACAATGTGTTACAGAGTACAGTGCATTGTGTTGTCCAGTGCATTAGCGTACAGTGCATTGCGGTGTCCTGTGAGTTAGAGAGTTCAGTGCATTGCGGTGTCCAGTGCGTTACATTGTAAAGTGCATTGGGGTGTACAGTGCATTGCGGTGTCCAGTGCGTTACAGAGTAAAGTGCATTTTGGTGTCCAGTGCGTTACAGTGTACAGTGCATTGTGGTGTCCAGTGTGTTACAGAGTACAGTGCATTGCGGTGTCCATTGAGTTAGTGTACAGTGCATTTGGTGTCCAGTGTGTTACAGAGTACACTGCATTTTGGTGTCCAGTGCATTAGTATACAGTGCATTGCAGTGTCCAGTGCGTTACAGTGTACAATGCATTGCGGTGACCAGTGCGTTACACAGTACAGTGCATTTTGGTGTCCAGTGTGTTACAGTGTAAATGCATTGCGGTGTCCAGTACGTTAGTGTACAGTGCATTGTGGTGTCTAGTGCATTAGTGTACAGTGTATTGCAGTGTCCAGTGCATTACAGTGTACAATGCATTGCGGTGTCCAGTGCATTAGTGTACAGTGCATTGAGTGTCCAGTGCGTTACAGAGTACAGTGCATTGAGTGTCCAGTGCGTTGC